GGATCAGAACCGGAACAAACTGATTTGTCTGAAAAGTGAGGCTGCAACCTTTACTAAATCAATTAGAAAAAGAAACAATAAGTTGTGATGGCTAGTTTTCTTTTGGGGCCTTCAGCCTAAGAACACAAAGCATTTTATGCCTACTTTTATGGAAGGGGTGATTTACATTACGCCTCTAACTTCTGTATTCAGCCCTCAGCACCTAGCATATAAGTGAAGAGTTGAGTTAGTTATGTTTAGAATAAAGTCTTTAGCTGAGATATGAATTTTAGTGCTGTAATTCTTTGCCTGTATCCTGTGACAACCTCTGAATTGTAATCCTTCTAGGAGATTTTTACCAACAGACTTCATTTCTTGCAGCTTCATTTAACATTTGTAATACCCACAGCTGAGTCATGGAATCTGCTATCTTAAAAAAAGAAAAACCAATGCAACTGTGTGGTGTTCCCCTTAGATGTAGCTAACGAGAAGCAGCGGAGGTTGTTGTACAACTTGGAGATGGAGCAAATGGCTAAAACAGCTAAAGCCCTCATGGAGGCAGTAAGCCACGCGAAGGCCCCTTTTACTAGTGCCACTCATCTGGATCATGTCAGACCCATGTTTAAAGTGAGTGTTCTCTTTGTATCTTCACTGCTAAGACAGTTTTAAGCTGAAAAAATGTGGGAAATGACCCTCTAGAGTTAGATAATACAACAGACAGTTGTTTTTTATTATTTATTTTTTGGGAGAGGGAGAGGGTGTGTTTAGTCTGCCTAATGCTTTAGGGTAAAACCTTAGCAGATTTCTAAACCTGGTTTCCTCCATTCTTTAGCTTGTATGGACTCCGTTGCTGGCAGCTTACAGCGTTGGTTTGCAGAACTGCGACGACACAGAAGTGGCATCTCTTTGCTTGGAAGGAATACGATGTGCAATTAGAATAGCCTGTATCTTTGGAATGCAGGTCTGTATAATACTTTGCAGGGACCTCATTAGGGACAGTTTAGGCTCTGGGAGGGGAAAAAAGAAATGTGAACAAGCTGTTTTATCAAGTTTACTGAAATGGCCAAATAGAAATAACTGGCTTTCCTCACCATCTCTCTAGTTTGTTTTGAGATCTTGATATCCTCAAGCTTTTCATAAAGGCTCAGCAACAGAAGGGAATCAATTAAGTGCATTTGTGAGCTTGCCTCCTGTTCTCCCTCAGACAGAAAGTGCTCAAAATGTAATTGCCAACTAGGCATGGAAAGAAGTCATACAGGCATGCTGGGGAAGTGGCTTTCTCCAGCTCTTGAGGAACTTAATTACATGACTTGTTTCTCCTGTTCGTAGCTTGAACGAGATGCTTATGTGCAGGCGCTTGCTCGTTTTTCCTTGTTGACCGCCAGTTCCAGCATTACCGAAATGAAACAGAAAAACATAGACACCATTAAGACGCTTATTACAGTCGCTCACACAGATGGCAACTATCTTGGGAACTCTTGGCATGAGGTAAAAACTTGTATAGTTTAAATAGTACAGCTACAATGTCCTTTGAAAACTCCAGGATTCTTTTATTCTAGCTTGTTTATTAGTTTCAGTTTTCAGTACTGCATTTAGCTCCCTGCATCTGTCAGAACCTCGGTTTGAAACCTGGATTTAAGTACACTAATTGGTAGGATTTTGTTAAAATTATCTCTTAACTATTTTGGCCAGACAGCCTATTGAATTGTTGATCATGCAAACCAAAGAATTGCAATCGACAATTCCAAATTTTGTCCGGTGTTTGGTAACCTTTGTGGTAAAATCACATAAAGTAACTAGTTGAGAGATGGATAAAGATAGACTATTGGGATCGTACTTATTTTTTAGCATGTCTTTAATCTGACCTAAATCTATGTTTCTGCTTAAAGGAAAATTCCTGCTCTTGGATTTTGTTTTTGTTTTCCTTGCATATTGCAGTGATTCATGACAGCTGGTGCATTTCCAGTTACATTAGTAATGGTGTTCTAGCTCCATCAAACCTGGAGGTGGTGTCTAAAGGTTGGAGAATCTGTAGTCTTAGGAATACAAATGCAGTTGTATCCTGAAACAAAATGTTTAAACATTCCTTTTTCAGATATTGAAATGTATCAGCCAGCTTGAACTAGCACAACTTATAGGAACTGGAGTGAAAACTCGGTATTTATCTGGCTCTGGGCGTGAAAGAGAAGGAAGCATTAGGAGCTATTCATCCGGAGGGGAAGAATTTATGGGCCTGGGATTGGGTAAGATTGTTAATCTTGAACTTCACAAAGCTGCATTTATAGCTGCAGATATGATGGATCAGAAAACTGTGTAAGATGCAGAAACATATTTTCTTGTCTTGATCTGAGGTTAATGAAACTAAATATGGATCTGTTCAGCATTTTTAGTAGTTACCAATGTGTTTCAACTTTGTAATTGGATTAAGATATCAGTGAAATTCCAGATTTATTTTTTGGAATGTGAATATTGTCTGTGTTATCAGATAACACCTAAATTCATAGTTTAGTTTATTTTTCATTTTACACTCTGTTTAGAAGCAAACTATAGAAACAGTATGTCTTTAGGGACTAACAGTTGTTTTAATGGTGAGTTTTTTTTTTTTTTTTTTCCAAATAGTTTATCTTTGCCCATTGCATTTGCTATTTCCGTTCATACCAATCCATACAAGATTTGCAATAAAAATCTGTCTTTCCATTGGGAACTAGAAAGCAGGTTGTCTTACTCTTTGGAAACTCCTGGAAACAGCCTTTCAGTTTCAGAATATTACAGAGTTAATGCTATGAGTAGTTAATGCTGGGTAGTTTTTCATCACTATTATTGTTGTATATATCTGATTTACAGTAGAAAATAATAATAACAAGGTAATCTGAAGGTCAAAACATGATACCCTCCCAAAACTATTCTTTTTACTGAATGTTCAATTTTGCGTTAATTTGGCACAGATTGGGTAAAGCACTGATCCATATAAACTGCAAGCTAATTGTGTCTCTTTTGTCTGCCTACCTTTTGGTGTCAAAGGCCATATTTCGTGATGCAGAATGCTGGTGTTGAATTAGATTTGATTTGGTTTTCCTTGCAGGGAACCTGGTTGGGAGCGGAGCTGACAAGCGGCACATGGCAAGCATTCAGGAGTCGGTGGGAGAGACCAGCTCGCAGAGTGTGGTGGTGGCAGTAGACAGGTATTGAATATGATTTTTCTGGGGAAAATGCAACTTGAAGCTATTGGCCATCCTCACTTCATCTGCAGGTTCTGCCATATCAGGCACTTTCTTTTTGATTTTTTTTTTTCCCCAAAATCCCTTGTCAGAAAAAGGCTATTGATTAGCTATACTGTTATTTAATATAAAAAAATGAAATGTGTTGGAAGGGGACTTTTTGTAACTACAGAAACTATTAGGTGAGCCTGTAGAATTGTACATTCAGCTTTGTGTTTCCTGTGAAGCTCTTGAGACTCTGAACACTCCTGGACAAGGAAGGGGTGGTTGCATATCCATAGTCTTTCTGATATCTGTTTCAACAGTCACAGTTTAAGTTACTCTTGAACTGCATAAAATGCAAGGAGACAGTGGCTGGTATCCAGTAAAGTCTTGCAACAAGCCTTCTTAATGTCTCTTTATTCCCCGTTACCCAAATGGGTCTTCTGGCAGTGCATGCAGAGGAGAGAAAATGTGAGTCTGTGGTTGTTGCCACAGCACAGGAGAGCGTAGCAGATTCCAAGTTGCAACAGGGAAATGAATGTTCAAAACTGCAAGGAGAGGGGTCAAACTTCTGCCAAGTAATAAAAATAGAAGAGTTGCAGGGTTCATGGCATGGAGGGTTACATGGTCCTTTTAGGAGATATAATGATGTTTACTTATAGTTTTAAGATGTGATTGACTCTTTGGTGTGTGCAGCTAAAATTACAACTCATTTTATTTGTTCTACAGGATATTTACGGGATCAACAAGGCTTGATGGAAATGCAATAGGCAAGTATGCTGAGCACGCGATGGTTTACAGGGACTCTTGCAGTGTAACATCCTGACCTTGTAATGATGTGTGTTAATGTTCAGTCGACTTTGTGCGCTGGCTGTGCGCTGTTTCCATGGATGAGCTGGCTTCCCCACACCACCCACGCATGTTCAGCCTGCAGAAGATAGTGGAGATATCCTATTACAATATGAACCGCATTAGGCTGCAGTGGTCAAGGATATGGCAAGTGATTGGAGACCACTTCAATAAGGTAATCTAAAAATCAAAGTTGTAGCACGTACATGAATGAGGACTTGTTTGATCAGCTTTTTCACTTTGCCTCCTTGAGGGGTGTAGGTGGTGGTGTGATATCAGGATCCATTAAAGGCACAAAAGTTTCCAGCATTTGAGCTGGAAAAATCTGAGGAATGTTAGGATTAGAATCTAGTGTCTAATTAAAAGGGAACAGGTATTTAAAAACAGAAAAGAAATATAATTAATGGAAGTAATCTTATCTAAGTACCTTGTTATATGACTTCGTATTACTTCCATTAATTATATTTCTAAGTACCTTGTTATATGACTTCGTACTCTTCCCTGTGCCATTGTTTTATCCTCCTGATCAAATGTAAGGATTGTTTCTATCTTCTAAAATATCTAGAGATGATCCTGAAACAACAAAGGAGTTCTGTTGAGGAACTAGAGACATGCTGTCCTTCTGACCTAAGCTCTGTCTGGTGGTTGTTCTGCACTTGCATGCAGGATCTATGGGGCTTCTTATACAGACAAAATGATTGAGACAGGTCCCTTCCAAAAGTAACCCCTAATTTTCTATATATCTGAAAACTAGAAATGTGCCAAAGATCAAACTTGTATGATGAATCAATGCATGCTTTAATATGTTAGCTGGTAAGTGACTGAAAATACGCTTTTCTTCTAGGTTGGATGTAACCCTAATGAAGATGTTGCCATCTTTGCAGTAGATTCATTAAGGCAACTGTCAATGAAGTTTCTTGAGAAGGGAGAGCTAGCCAACTTCCGTTTCCAGAAAGACTTCTTGAGGCCTTTTGAGCATATTATGAAGAAAAACAGGTGTGCATGCGCTGGAATCTCTGTGCTCTCTTGCTTGAGGCCTTTTTAAAGATGTGCTGTGATGTGGCATGGATTCCCTTGTAGGTGGAAGTGGCATTTGATACTTAACTTCTACTTTTTCAGATCCCCAACTATTCGGGACATGGTAATCCGCTGCATTGCTCAGATGGTGAACTCTCAAGCTGGTAATATTCGCTCTGGCTGGAAAAATATCTTTGCAGTTTTTCACCAAGCTGCTTCTGACCACGATGGGAATATTGTGGAGTTGGCCTTTCAAACCACAGCACATATCGTTAGTAAGTAATACTTGACAGATACAATTACCTAAATTAAAACTGCTCTCATTCGGCATAAAAAGGTTATCAGAATAAGACTTTTGTATTACTAGGTAAATAGAGATAAGACCTAATTGCAGCATTTAAACAGTTTGCTTGTAAGATTTTATCCGTTATGTCTTCTATGTCTATTATGTCTTCTGATCCCCAATGGGGCCGGGGGGGGAAACAGCAACAGTAACCTACTATAGCTGGTTACTATTAGTAAATTTTAACAAGTACTTTTGTTTGTTTTCCACAGCAAATATTTTTCAACAGCACTTTCCAGCAGCAATTGACTCATTCCAGGATGCAGTAAAATGCCTTTCAGAATTTGCCTGTAATGTAGCATTTCCAGACACAAGCATGGAAGCTATTAGACTTATTCGTTATTGTGCAAAATATGTTTCAGAAAGACCACAGGTATTTTCTTACACATTTACTTACCTTTGTGTATTGCTGCAGCATTTTCTCCTGCTAAACTGAGGATTTTTATTGCAGCCAAGAAATAGCTGTCAAAGTTCAGTCTCCAAGGCATGAGTGTTCGTATTAAAAGTTTATTCAAAATTAGGAAGCTCTTTGTTAGGTTAGCAGTAAACTAGAAATAGCTAAAACACTTTGTTTAGAATGGAAATAACTGATTTAAACAGTCCTTTTACTGCAGTGTTAGCCTAATATTGAAAACAACTTCATGTTTTGTCAAACTGATTATATCCAGTTAAACTGGCTCCAGACATGCTTTTTTTCTATGTCAGTCTATTGTTTAAATGCTTAATATAACATTCACTTGGCTGAAAAGAGCCTAGGTTTATACTGCAGTTGCACATGAACTGTTGCAAGATAGGCATAGTGTATGCCAGAAAAACACATAACTGGTTTATGTGCAACTGCTGAAATTTAGGCTCTATTAGTACATAGATATCTGTATCTAACTTTTTTCTGTCACTGTGAACCTTGTTTGCTAATGTCAAAGTCTGTGACTGGTAGAAAACTACAACAGCTCTAAAATAAAACTGATTTAATGTGAATACTTATTCTCATATATTTTTACAGCTATCTCCAAAACTAGGTATCTCTTTTCTTTTTGAAAGAATGAGTGTAACAGTATAAATTGAGCTAACTTTCCAAACCTATTTAACACTAGAAGTATCTAAAATACATCAGAATTCTATTTTTTCAGTTTCTTTTTTTCTCCTCTGTCTATCTCTAAGGTATTAAGAGAATACACAAGTGATGACATGAATGTTGCTCCTGGGGACAGAGTGTGGGTCAGAGGATGGTTCCCTATATTATTTGAACTTTCTTGCATCATCAATCGTTGTAAATTAGATGTTCGAACAAGGTAATAAGGCTCTTCTGCTTTTTGTTTGCATACAGTTTGGGAAAGAATCACAGGTAGCCATTTTAATATCTTTTCCTATAATTGCTTTTGTTGTTTGTAGAGGCTTGACAGTGATGTTTGAAATAATGAAGAGTTATGGCCATACTTTTGAAAAGCACTGGTGGCAAGATCTGTTCAGAATTGTGTTTCGGATTTTTGATAATATGAAATTGCCTGAACAACAAACAGAGGTAATAAAATAAATAAAGTCAAGAATTGAGTTATATTTTTGAGAGTGTGAAAGGGTTGCTGAAAAATCTGGGAAATGAGAACAATTTGGATTTATTATCCTAAAAGGAACCACTGGAATTAGTCCTCTGAAACTCAAAATCAAGGCAGTTTGTATTTTTTGCCTTAACACTGCACTTCACCCCTGCTGGCATTTTGTCATCATGATCTACAGAGTACATTAGAACTCAATGAAGTGCGTATGAAGCTACCAAAGTTGATATTTCCAGGTGAAAACTTGTCACATATCCAGTGACCTATCTAGCTGTTCCCAGGGAGAATACTGATCACCGCGAAATACATTTTCACAAGGGATGAAGTGACTACCTAATGCTGCTGACAAGAGATGTGCAGTAGTGGGCCCTTTTTCTACTTTTTATCTAAATTGTTGTTCTCTTCAGAGGTCAATTCCTTTTTCAAGTAACTGTTTGTAAGCAAATTGGTATCATAAAAGAACCCCCATAAAAACAAAGGCTTCTCATTTCCTAACAGAAATCTGAGTGGATGACAACTACATGCAACCATGCACTTTATGCAATCTGTGATGTATTTACCCAATTTTATGAAGCTTTAAATGAGATCCTTCTTCCTGATATATTTGCACAGTTACACTGGTGTGTAAAACAAGGTAACTTATTTACTTTTATCTTTCGATGAATGTATTTTTAGATTGCTCATTTTTTCAAGAAAAAAAAAGTTTACTGATTTTTTTGGAAGAATAGAAATTACCACTGGAACAATGTGTTATATAATAGATGTGTGCTGTGTCTTAAATATTTAAAGGTCATTCTATTTAACCAGTTAGGCAGCTCTTAATGTACGTATCATGCTATTGTGATATAGTAAAACAACTTGAGGAGTTCAGTTTTGTATTCTTTGTAAATGTATTTGAATTTCGACTTGTGTGCCTGAAATCTTGCAGTTTACTAGCACAGAACTTGAGGGACTAGCTAGAAAGAAATTTTAAGAACCTTCAATTCCTGTTTACCTTCTTTCATCCCACTCTAAGCTTCCTTCCTGTTTCTTTCCTTTGTCTTCCCTCATTGATTTTTCAGTCCCATGATGTCTCCTCTTAAACAGTACTTTCAGTTCAGTAGGACCCCAAAGTTCCTGTTGCTGTAGTATAATTTACACACAGGTTTTGAGCTACTGTGGGCACTTTGTACAAGCAGCATGTATCTCTGAACAAAAGTCTTAATGGAGCTGTATAAAGAATAATTCATTTTCCTTGTTATTATGCAAGTTGATAAATATGGAACGTGTCATTCACAGATAATGAGCAGTTGGCTCGATCAGGTACAAATTGTCTAGAAAATCTGGTAATACTGAACGGACAGAAATTCAGTCCTGAAGTCTGGGGCCAAACGTGCACTTGTATGCTAGAAATCTTCAAAACTACCATTCCTCATGTGTAAGTATGTGAAGAATATTTTGAAAACTAAGAGCTAGTTCAGAACAACAGTATTTATACAGTTTTTCTTCTCCCTGGGAAGCTTGCTTACATGGAGGCCTGCAGGCATGGAGGAGGATTCGGCTGAAAAACACTTGGTAAGAGTTATTTCAGTGCAAACTAAGCTGAAGGCTAGTGTGTTAGGTTAGCTTTAGAAATACTTTATGTCAGTAAAGTAATTTGACAGCGAACACTGGAATTAACATTAGCTTGTATTTGATAGCATTGTGAAATAAGATTAAAAGAATTGAACTAATCTAATCTAAACCAATAGTTAAGTCATCTCAAAACTGATAGTTGGATGATAGTTTTTTGGAGATTATCAGAATTTTTCTACAATCTATTTTAGGATTTGGATCTAGATCACCAGTCTCTAAGCAGCATGGATAAAAATGCTTCAGAAAGAGGACAGAGTCAATTTTCAAATCCTACAGATGAAAGCTGGAAAGGTGGTGCTTATACAAGTAAGGATAATTTGTGAGTTAATCTTTCATGACCACTGTTAGTCCATCTCTGTAGTCTTTGGAGGTGGGGAGAAGGCTTTAAGCCATTTGATCACTTAAAATCTTAGTTGTAAAGACTTGATGTAACCTCTTATTTTTGGAGAAAAAGTGTTTCCCTTTATAAGGTGATTCACAGCATCACAAAACTTGAAAAGGTTGTAATTTTGCTAGCCTGTTTTAAGTGTATTGTCATTATTTCTAAAACCTGTTTTGTTCCATTTTATTAGACCAGAAATTATTTGCTGGCCTTCTTATAAAGTGTGTGGTACAGCTGGAATTGATACAGACCATTGATAATATAGTATTTTATCCAGCAACAAGCAAGAAGGAAGATGCTGAGCACATGGCTGCAGCTCAGGTACAATCAGATTTATTTATACCTGTGGCAGTAAAGTGCAAAGACAGCACTTGTAAAGTGTATTTACAGAATGGAGTACAGGGAGTCTCTTGATTTCTCTAACTTTCAAAATTACCCCAAATGTGTTGTTTCTCTTTGCAGTGATTCCTTGACAGTTTTCCCGTTTGTACATGTTTTGTAATAAATGCATATCCCTTAAGTATGTATTTGGTTTGGGGGAGAGGCTTATGTTTTTGACCAAGATTTTGAGGTTGTTCAACATCTGGGTTTACACAGGAGGAGATGCAGAAGTTGAACTTCTGCAGAAGATTAATGATCAAGATTTAATTCATTACCATCTTTGGAGAGGTCCTTGCCCCTGAAAATGGAACTATTATGATTCTTAGGGAAGAGTGCAAGGTAGCTCTTGCTTCTCTATGTTAATGTAGCCATAGGTTAGAAGCTCAGGCTAGTGCATTAATGTTTGAGGGGCTGGTACTGTAAGAGATAGCTAATGAAATTAGCTAAAAAATGGAAAAACTCTAAAGAAACTTCTGACATTGGCCCAAAACAAGTAACTTCTACAGTGTGCAGCATTCAAACCTGGGCTATTTTGGTGATTAATTAATTCGGTGAGAATTGCGTAGTGACAGTCAGTCAGATCCTAGGAGCAAGGAAATGTTCTCCACTGAATTGCCATCATCTCCCTTTGTCTTGATAATATGGGAGGCCCTTCCCCTTTGTTCTGGTTTATCATATCATTAACCATGGGATAGATCGTAACTTTTCTTACAATATCGTACTGAAAAGAATACCCCGTTGACACATTTTTAGACTTGCTGTTCTTGCGTTTTTTTCTTTAAAAGCTCTGTAGGTGACATCTGTTGGTCTCTATTGCACTAATATTTCCCTTGTACCTAAAAATGGAATCTTGATGGAGTTAGTGTATGGTCTCTGAAGTATCAAAGAAGGTCTCTTAAGACTATATAATAAGGCTAAATTATTGATGCTGTTCGGTTTTCTTTAGAGAGATGCGCTGGATGCAGATATCCACATTGACACAGAAGACCAAGGAATGTATAAATACATGTCTTCACATCACCTTTTTAAGCTACTAGATTGCTTGCAAGAGTCTCATTCATTTTCAAAAGCCTTCAATTCAAATTATGAACAGCGAACAGTCTTGTGGAGAGCAGGTGAGGCTTTTACTTTAGCTTGGTGGAAAATACTGAACTCCATTTATGGTTTTGAATGTATCTCGAAATAGAAAAAGAGTACTACTACGGTAATCTACAGTTTATCTGCGACCTTTGTGTGCTTTTATTACTTGTCTCCTTTCTAGTCATTTTAAGAATTACTATTTTCTGTTTTTTCATTAAAATAAAGCAGCAAGGTTTGCACTGCAATAATTGAATGTCTCTATAAGAATAGATACACCGTCCAAAAATTGATAAACTCTACTGCTTGGCTGAAATGTCTCTAAGAATAGATACACCGTCCAAAATTGATAAACTCTACTGCTTGGCTGGTAACTACTACTGTGGATTTTTCCTCATCCCTTCCCTCCCCTCGACCTCTCCCACATGTGACTGTTTTCTAGGGTTCAAGGGTAAATCAAAACCCAATCTCTTAAAACAAGAGACCAGCAGCTTGGCTTGTTGCTTGAGAATCCTCTTTCGAATGTACATCGACGAAACCCGCCGAGACGCCTGGGACGCGATACAGCAACGGCTGCTCAGGTAAAAGCACCGGGCGCAGGAGCGCGTTCGCTTTGGTGCGTGGTGCTTCCTACCAGGTGGCTGCCAATGCTCTGCTTTAGGTTGAGCAGAGCATGCAGGATATATGAAGATAAAGGACTGCTCTTTAAAAGTGAATGCAGTATTAAGGAAGCGACCTATTCAGCATAAACAAAGCACCTTCTTGTTTGACTTATTGCTACTTTTGCAAAGAAAAGTTTGTACAAATATTTTTCATACTGTTGAGTACAGTATGATATTCAGAGGTATAATGGATGCAGTAACTTAATGTAGCATAAGGTGCAGTATGCATGCAATGTAATGTAACTGTGTTCTCCAGTGTGTGCAGTGAAGCCCTGGCATATTTTATTACTGTGAACTCGGAAAGCCACAGAGAGGCATGGACCAATCTACTGCTGTTGCTTTTAACAAAAACACTAAAAATTAGTGATGAAAAGGTAAGAATGGGCTGAAAGTAACATCTTTTTGCATTATTTTTTTCTCTGTTTCTCTGCTATTGAACTCGGGCTTTGCTCTCCTCAGATGTGTTGCAAGATGGTTAATTCACTTATTCGCATAGGATGCATTCTCCTTGAAATACAGGAATCATTACATCTCCATGTGCAAGCATTCTGTGTAGTGGAAATGGAACTGTATTCATAAAGGCAAATGCTGTTATTTTGGAATGTTGATACATTTCATATAGAAGTACTTTGAATGTGCAACTTTGAATGTGAAAGGAACTTCATTGCATTTCAGTAATACAGAGTGGTAAACTTCACCAGTGTAAAACTGGAATTCTTGTCCCTTGATAGCAATGATGAAGAATTATCTTCAGGGTTTCAGTCCTTTTGAGGGACATTAATGCAAATGTTCATTAGTTTAGCACATACAGTGAAGCTCTGGAAGTTGTTCAAATTTTTTTTAAGAAAACTTTCTCCAACTTGGAATTTTTTTCTCCACTGCAGAGTGTGTAATTCTACTTCACTCTTGCATATTTTAGTGTAATTTATCCACAGTTTATGTAGGTTCGGAGTCTTTCTCACTTATCTCTTATCCAGAGAAGAAAGAATTGAGAAATCTCGTGGATGTGGAGTGTTGCAGATGATATTTCTGGAGCTTGAGGAGCAACTGGACAAGTTCATATGGCTTTTCCTTTATGTATAGGGTCTGATATCACCTCTACCTCTGGAAATCCAAGCCACAAATTGGAGTCTGACTGTGTATTCAAGGAAAATATTACCACCTGCTTGCTGTCCGGGTGTTTTTTTGTAAGCATCTGCTGAGGCTGATGCAGAAGACAGACATAGGGCTTGATGGGTCCTTGGTCTCATGTAGTGCGGGCTTTTCTAATGAATGGATTTAGCTGTGAGTGTGTGTGTGTGTGTGTGTGTGTGTGTATGTGTGTGTGTTTGTAATCCTGCAGTAACAGAGAATAACTGTCTTTTTTTTTTTAACATTTCCTCTTTTAACAGTTTAGGACACATGCTTCAACATATTACCCATACCTGTGTGAAATCATGCAATTTGACCTGATTCCTGAGCTTCGGGCTGTGCTACGGAAGTTCTTCCTGCGCATAGGTGTTGTGTTCAAAATCTGCATAACAGAGGAGCAGATACGGACAGCTGGGACAAAATTACCTTCGTGGTAGCCTGACACAGAGTTAGTTACTGCTGCTTGTACATAAAGCTGCGTTCCGCAGATGGATTAAAGTGGATAGCAGCAGGGGGAAATGGGACCCTGGTAAATCAACAGAGTAGCAAGTTACTCTGACCGTAGCGGCAATTTTGGGGGAGGAAAGAAACCTGTTCTGCCCGTCCTACAAAATTATCAGCAGTTTTTTTATTTAAATTGTTGCTTACAGAGTTAATACAGTAGAAGTAAAGTCTGTTTCAATGCTAGTCATACTTATGATCAAGTCTGTCTCTTCTAATCTAATTGTTCAGTCTTGCATCCCAGCTAAATCTTAAATCAGCTGGAAATTATTCCTTAATGGAAATTATGCCCCTTGGAAATAATGAATATAGTTGTATAGCTTTGTGATGTTAGCACATGTGTTCCAAATAAACTATGCTGCAGTGCTAATGACCACCTAAGATCATTCTGGGTTTTTCTTTGTATGCACCTGACTAGACCAGGCAGGGCAGTTTAGTTGGGTTGTTGTGGACACCTGTAGGATATTCCAGTTTGGGGGAAGGGTTTTCCTGCTGTTTAGCAGTTCATTTTAAAAGACCTTTTTTTTTTTTTAATAGCAATGTTTCATATTCTGAAATGTTCTTCTGTTCTTATGGAAGGTTTTATATCAGGAGCACTCAGTAATATTTATTCTAGCTCATTAGTCTTACATTAATTTAAAGCATTAAAATGAAACTTTCAGACTTTCAATTGACTTTCAAACATTGCTGGATCATAGACCAAGGATCTAAAGTAATATGATAATTGAGGTTTTGAATAAGTAACATTGTCTTTACCCTTGACTATAATCTATTTAGTAATAATTTTCTCTCTTTAACAAGAAGTAACCTATCCTTAATGCATATCAATGTTGTGTTTCTTTATTGCAGATCTGAAAGTGCTGATTGTTCTTGTGCATTTTTTAAATGTCTCACTTGTAGCTCCTATTGTGATTTGGAAAGATTTTTTTTTTTTTAAAAAAAAAAAGGAACCGGAATGCTTTAAGCAAATTTGAACTTTAAGCTCATACATGTACTGCAAGAGTTTCCAAAATACTTCTGTGCTTGGAAGTATCTGTAAAACAAACATGTGGCCTCACACTACGTATTGTTTTCCCTGTGAATTTTTCTTTCATAGCAAGACTTCAGTTAATTGATATTGTATCATGGAAATACGTGTCACAGAACTGAAGTACTGCAGGGATGAATCCTGTCCTTTGAAAAAATTTTAATTGCAAGTTGAGCTTTCTCTAAGCAAAGCATGGCAGGATAATAGGGTAGGTGCCACCTCGTGAAATATATTAATGCATTCAGCACTGTGCTATCTATATTGGGAACCCTGAAATATAACAGTATTTTTAAAAAATGGAATTGTATTAAGTTCTAGACTCTTCATTGTAAGGTGAACTTTCTGATAGGGCAGCCCTGGTTGAAGCAGTGTTGGGATATTTCCCTTTTGGAGCTGTTGGGTTTTTTTTGTTTTGAGCTTTCTCCAAAGGCTCATGGGGTGCTCCCTCAGTAAGTCAGTTTACTAAAGCAGTGTTTGGGAGTGTTCTTTACAGTCAACAGAACTGGTTTTCACTTTTTTTTTTTTTTTTTTTTAAACCAAAGAAAAGTAAATGGTGGTTGTGGCTTTTTAATATTTAAATGCCTGTTAAATGTATACATTAACGTTTAGTAAAAAAAAAAGAATACATGGTTGTATTATACCATAAGGAAAGACTGAAAAATAAGCAATGTCTATATCTAACTTACTGAATTTGCAATGTCTTTTTGTGTTCCATTTAGTGTAGCTGTTCGTTCCTTGGTAGTGCCACTTCATTAATTACAGTAAAAATGAAGTATTTATTTTGATACTATTTAAATATTTAAACTGATCTTTTTCTTGTCCTAGATGGTCTTAAAAATATTTGAAACTTTATTTTTTTCAGATTTTGAATGTCACAGCCTCATTGAATGTACACCCTTAGCTCCTGTCAAAACACAATTTTAAGTTGCATGCTTTCTCTGTATGTTTCAGTTCTGAAAGCCTTACAACTTGTGTCTTGAAAATGACTCTTAATTTTCAGATCTAAAATTATTTTACAGATGCATCATAGGCATTCTTAAGCAAAGCTTTTATTGTATTTATACCATATGTAGACTGCTGAACTGAGGTACATGATATCAGAACCATTCTAGATTTATGCTGTGGTGCACGAAGATGATAAGGACTAGAATGCAATGGGATTGTAACAGCCTTAATCCAGACACAGTTTTGTTGAATTGACTGTACACAAAGCAATAAGTCGTTAAGTGTAATATCTGAAACATTTGTGTTTACAACTGTTTAGTTTCCCTTACACACTCAAAGATCATAACCCATAAATATTTTAATGAAGCTACTACCGCTGAGCCAAACTCCTAAAGCAATCGCTGCTGGTTCTGATCTTGTGCTGGACTTTGCTGACACCGACTCGAGCCGCCTTGGGCAGTTTTACTGGCTTCAGTGGAACCGTATGAACGAAAACAAGGTTCTTTGTCAGCAGATCCTGGAAGAGATCAAGGCCTGTATGTGCAATACATGGAGAAACTGATTAAGTTAGCTCTTAAAGGTTTTAAATGGTGTTATGCAACAAATTATAGCTAAACCACCTTATAATTTAATGGTATAAATATGGAGACTCTGCATGGTATTTTACTACTACTTACTGTGCAACCCTCTGCGATGAATAGGCAGGATACTTATTAAGAAAACCCTTAAACTTCCTTTTGCAAGGAAGAATATAATTTTTCAAAAATTTGCAACCTGCCTGTTCTCTCTTGCTCTGAAAGCAGTTCCAGTTAACAGTGCTATAACCCCCCTGCCCTTCCTCTTCAGCTTAGTCTATCACTTAAAGTATTTAAAGTACCTTTAGTCAGGAGTAAAAACAAAGCTTCTACCCCAGCAACAGTGCAGCCCCCCTGTAATATGTAAAATGTTTGTTCTGCACCTTTAATTTTATTTTTGTGCAAAAATGTATGTTTTTACCTATTTTAAATGCCTTTTTTGGAGAGCTCCAGATAAAGTGCATTTAATAATACCAATAACAAAAAGCAGACTTTGCCCAATGGATGTATACATTTTTGAGAGAATAGTGACTTATATGAAAAAGCTCTGTAAAGTTTTCTACATTAAAGAAAATACTATGTATAATACTGTTACAATATTCCATGCTTTGATCAAGTGGTAAATCAATAAAGTTTTGAAAAGCGTGGCTTGGTTTGGATGTAGTTTTTAGAAGAACGTCAGCGGGAAGAGGCCCGGCGCTCTTCGCTTTCAGCGGGGCTGCAGTATTCCCCTTGATTTTCCTCTCCCCTCGCGGTTCGGGAGGGATCGGGACTTCTTGGGGATGGAGGTGTCGCTGCAGCGCCCCCGTTTTGGCCCCTTTTTAGCCCATAACGGGACGGAGGCGCCGCCTCACGGCGCCCGGCGCGGGGCGGGGCTCCCTGCCTCCCCCGCGGCCTTCTGGGAAGAGCGCCGCCATTGGTCGGCCGCCTCAGGCGGGAGCGCGGCGGGGATTGGCTCAGCTGGGGGCGCGTAGGGCGAAGCGGGGGCGCTGGTT